ATTTAGGTAAGCTAAAAAAAAAAACAACAACATTCAGAAGTGTGTAGTAATATTTGAGAAGTTACAGTAACTTCTGCAAAATATAGGTTGTTCAGTTCTTGTTTGTGCTGCATAGCGAGACTATTGCAGCAAGGTGTTGTTTTCCGGAAGCGGAGTAAGGTCATTACTCATGGGGTGGCTTGAATAGTTGATGAACAGATCATCAGAAGTCTCAAAACCCCCTTTTCTTGCTTTCCCTCCATATTTCACACTGCTTGAAATAACATGTTTCCTCTCCAAGCCAAATGTCAAAAAGCCAGTCCTCAAAACCACAAAGCACACTACTATGATTGGTCACTCATTTCACGTTACTCTCTCAGTCTTACTGAAATTTGAAAACACTAGATGGGTTGCCCTTGAAAGTAATACATTTGTGTAATCACGTCTGTCTCTTCCTGCTCTCGCTCTCCTGACTGGAAATTCCAGCCGCTTGAGAAGTCATGAGCTGCAGCGCTGATTGGCTCCTGCGTATGACTAAACAGCAGCAGAATGTTGTTGGCCACAACCCTACCATATTAAATTATGTTGTGTTCCTCATCTTTGATGGGCATAAACTAAAAACACTTCTCTAGCCTGTGGCCGATTCTCTGTCAATCATTTAACATCGCTGCTTCCTCTTGATGGCCTCATTTTAAGTTCCGTCAAATAAGCGAAATACCTTCCTTGACCACACAGTCATTATCTGATTTACCTACAGAGCACCTCTGTTGCATTTAGGGGGGAAATAACAGTGGTTGGGTGTGTCTGTGGTTTGCAAAGAAAAAAGCACTGAACTGCTTTTGACCCTTCTTTTGAAATGTGTTTTGAACATTCAGTTCAGAGCAGCTGAGGTAAAGTGGTCATAAACAATTAGTTTGGCAGGAAACTGCAGAGATATTTCAGAAAAAAAATCCTTTATGATGCAATCCAAAGCTCTTACGTTTGATGTCGTGGTGTATGATCTTGTGAGAGTGCAAGTACTCCAGGCCTCGCAGAACCTGCTGAGAGACCCAAATGATCTCAAACTCTCTCATTGGACCACAGCTATCCAGCTTCTCCAGAACTGAGCCCCCTTCACCAGCTTCCATGAACAAATGCACCGTCCGCTCCCACATCAATGCCCCATACAGCTCTGCTATGTTCTCGTGACGGAACCGGGCTTGGATTTCCACGTCTGCAGGCTTGAAATGTTCCACAGGAATCTGGAGAGAAAGTACACCTAACTTATAAATTTCAGACATTTTGGAAGTGCACCAAAAATGAGCTTGCTCATTATACTTATATGCATAGATGCTATTTAAGCATTCATATATGCAAATAATTTGAAAAGAAAGACTAAATGCAGATGGCTTAGAGAAGGTAGAACCAACACTGTAAAATATGTGCATTCTGCCTATCTATGATCTGCACATTTCCCCATATACTTTCACAATATTAATTACTAGAATCACACTGCCACACTGATTTCCAAAGTACTGAATTATTAGTAGTTAAGAATTAATATATACACCAGGCTTATTATATATTTTTCTGTTTTGGTTGTTTATTATATTCATGCCCACTTGAACGATTAACAGTATTTCCAAAATCTACCAACATCTCTGTCAATGGATAATGCACATTTTTTTAGCAAATTTAAAATTTATATTTATAATTATATACAGTAGGCTCGTAATGATGATTGACAGGACTGAATGATTTGGCTCCTTCCTAACCTACGTTTGGAACTTCATCATGCGTCTCCAAGAAACACACATGGACCGGCGTTTCTGAATGAATCCCTGCTTTTGAAAGAAACTGTTACATGAATTATGTAATGACTCACTCATTAAGACAGTTGCTTGTTAACCTCCCAAATGAATTCGGTTCAAATTTCTGGTTCATTTTTGGTTCAAAAATCGGTTAATTTGATGATTCAATGACTCACAAAGTCACCAAGTTATGCTGTATCAAACTACAGTTATATTACTCGATTATACTGGACATTGACCACCTTTATCACTAAGTATTTGATCAAAACGTTAGGCCACAATGACATGGTAAATATTTTTGTACAAGTCAGCAACAACCTGTTAAATTGACCACAAGTCTGAAATGTCTTCTCCCTCTAGACATCTGCTCTCAGCCACACAGTTGAGACACTGTCTCTTTGGGCTGCATGTTTCCACGGGGGCGTTCCTGTCAGCTTCCTGTGTGCGTTAGAGCCATTCTCAGTTTCTGTTCAAACACTGCATGCTGCACGCTGACCCTCTAAACATTTTAAGGGAATTGGGTTATTTCCCAAAAGTGCTCTTCCTCATTTCAAAATATTCTCTTATTGCTGCTACAGTTTCTACAAGAAGCGTTTCTCTTTTCAGAGCCATTATTTTTCCACTGTACATAAAGCCTTGTGGCCTCACATGGTCTGGTGCATAAGATCATCACGAGAATAAATCATGCAGTATCACATGTCTTCTGTCTTGTATTTTCATGTGAAAAGTATATGTTTGTGACTGACTGACAATGACTGACTTCATGTTTAAAATCCTTCTTTTTCTGCTTATTAAATTGTTTTCAACATAGTACTTTGAACAAGCTGTGTTTTCGCTTCAGAACACAGATTCCCAGAAGGAAAGGCATGTCCATTATAACCTCCTAGTGGAGTGAAAACAACTACCTTTGCCAAAAAAGAAAAAAGTTGAGATTCCTGAAAAATAACATTCTCTGGATTCCCGGACTTACTAGTTTGCATGCCATTCTCTTCCGAGTTTTGGTGTCCTGAGCCAGATGGACCTTCCCAAATGAGCCTTTGGGAACGTGTCCAGGGCCTTGGGGCTTGTAGGTTAGTTTCCAAGGAAACAGAAGGACGTCCAAGTCAATGCGATAATGCCCCTCCTTAATGACCATGTCTGTCTTCAGGAACAAATCAGGGTGTTCATGAGAGTAAGGCTATGACAACTTGTAACCTTTACTTATCATATGAGTTGCTTTGATTGAGCCAACAATCTCACAGTTTAAACAATTCATTCACTTACATAATGCTTTAATACTGAACTGTACATTGCAACTGTTACTGTATATGTTATGCATCTGTTATGTCATCAAAATAACCACCTATAGAGCTTACCTTGTTTAGCAGAACCCCCATTTCTTCACCCACCTCCAATAGAGAGGAGGACGGGGTGTTTGAAACCATATTTACAAAGTCCAGGAGGTCGGATGCAGTCCCGTAACGGACCTTTCCAGGATTTTGCACATGTGAGATTAAATCCTGTGGCGTCTCCACAATCTCATCCATGTCTTCTTGCGAGAAACTTTCTTCAAATGAAACTCCTGCTTCCACCTCCTCGCCAACACAGTAGAAATTCTCTGCCTCTTGGATGAAGTCTTCAATGTTCATGTGAGCGAGAAGCAGTTCTATACCAGCATTTTCATTCTCGTACTCCATCCTTGATTGAATCCTACAACAGAATGTTTGATCATTAGAAACAGAACATTAACTAAAGTAATTTAGTGCATGCATACATTTGTTTTGCACGCATATGTATGTTCACGGTGTGGTCAGGCAGATTTCCTGATGTGCTTGCTTGCTCTATTTTGCCTGCAAATGAGGGGTGGTTTTCAGAGGTGGGAAACTCCAAGATGGGCTTTCTTCTTCAAAACAAATGGCAGCTAAAACTTTTACATTGAAACTTGAAGATCTTTTCAAGGTCCTTAAGCACAAACTCACTGTCTGTTTTGACAGACCCCCAATTTAAATACACACACAATGCTGAAATAATCTGACAACCACATCTTCTATAGGCTACTTCATGTGGAATCATTAAGTAATAATAAAAGCATGTATAGCAGCAACAACAACAATTTATCATTACTGATAAAAAAAATAAATTTAGAAACACTGTCTAGAAATAGGCAGCCGCAACACTGCCAATAACCAACCTGATTGACCTGCTGTGTACATTTTAAACTATAAAAGCAATAGCTGCTCGAAATGTATAAAAAACTATATAATATCCATGAAATCCCAGTCGTTTGCTTACCTTTCGGTCAGTGTGATCACAGCAGGGCACATGCCCACTGATTGTCCATAGTTCCCACTGAGGCTCTCAGACTGACGTGCGCAGATAAGATGAACATGAGCTGCGCCTACGTCAACCGCGGTTTCGTTTTCTCTTTTCAATGAGAGGTATTTTCTCATTGGGAGGTCACGTATCTGCTTTAATTTTGCCACAGTCCCCTATCAGAATGTTCCGTGGAATAAAAAGATGTCATTCGCTTTCATCTTCATGATACGCAAGAGGAAAAAGTTGTTCGTTCTTGCGATAGCAAAGAAAAGCATAAACTAGTATGAACCGGTATAAAGGAAGACCCACACGTTTGTGCTCTTTCTATGATATACAGTATGAGGTGAAAAACTTTATTGGTTATAAATTAGTGAAGTCCGCTGACCTAGCACAATGCCGTTTTGTTAATTCCTGTGACATGTTATGATAGGCAAGAAACTAACATCACAATTTTTACACTTGCAGAAAAGATCACTATACGAGTCAGTGAACGAATCTTTTGAGTCACGGGAATGAATTTTCCTGATAGCACATGACGGAGATCGTCTATTTGACATCTGCATTTACATTAGGGTGACCATACGTGCCATTTTCCCAGGACGCGTCCTTGCCAGGATTTCTATATTGCCTAAAATATCTAGGTTTTGGCTTTGTTTGCGTGTGCAGACCGATCGGTGTATGACATCAAAATACCATACAGACGGTTATGCTTTCAAAATGCTCTCGAGGTATTTTGATGTCATACATCGATTGGTCTGCACACGCAAACAAAGCCAAAACCTAGATATTTTAGGCAATATAGAAATCCTGGCCAGGACGCGTCCTGGGAAAATGGCACGTATGGTCACCCTACTCAACTGGCGTGACGATCATAACATGTAAACCTGCAGAAAAAGTCACTAAACGAATCAGCGAGCAAATTCAAAGTATTCGGAAATGGGTCAACATCTCCAACACTATTTTCAAGTAGGTATTTTGAAATTTGGTGATCTCCAGCCTGGCCTTTTCGGGTTTTTCCAAATGCGAAACGCAGCACTGCAGGTCGCTCACTTCGAGTCGGAGGCGGTTTGGCAACAGTAGTGATGTCCGGTTCGCGAACGAATTGTTCGATTTAACCGGTTCTTCTTAGTGATTTATTTTTTATTTTTTCCTTTCTTTCCCTTCTGTATTTCTTTCTTCCAAATTTATGCACACTCCACACTCCAGATCAGTAGGTGGCGGTAATGCACCTCTTTCGTTGGTTTGCCAAACCGCCATAAAACACCAGAAGAAGAAGAAGAAGAAGCACTGCAGGTCTGTTCACAGCCACCGTAGAGCCAATGTGTACGCACGCGCCCGTCTCAAATCAGCAATGGCGGCCTCCTTTGGCGTTTGTAGGTTACGTTTCAGAGCTTTAGGGGGGCTTGATAAATGTTGTCTTGGACTGGAACCTCAAACGCAAGTAAGATTCACTTCGACTACATCAGCAATCAAAGCCCAGACAGAGAACAAGACAGCGAAAGCCGGTAACTAACATTGTTTTACTGTAGTACTGTAAGCATGACATTTACCAAGTGATTTCAATTAAGTAATAGCAATGACAGCTGTAAAAAAATAAAAATAAAAATCATAAAAAAAGCTATCATTTTATTTTAAAAATAAATACCAAGTTGTTGTCTCATGGTGAAAATCGTGATGGAAATAACAAGTGCATTACATGTCCAATAACTCTTTCCTCTTTCCTCTTGCTCCACTTTCGTTTTATTCACGAAAGCCAAGGAGAGTAAAACATTTCAAACAATCCAAGAGGAGAGACGAGAAAAAGCTGAAAGGTCTGTTTTGATCAGCTGTCCGCCTAAGATAAACGAAAAGAAGTTTTTAGATTACCTGTCTAAACATGGGACAATCAACAAGCATTTCTTCTACAATAGCTACGTAAGTGTTGCAGAACTATAAGTTACAAATAGGAATAGTGACAAATTTAATATCTAGAAATCTTGTGATGCTTGATCACAAAGATCTGAGACTGACAGAACTGTTGTGCGTATAATGTGTTCATCTTTCTGTAGGGAGCAAATGCAGTAGTTGAATTCTCCAGCAGAGAGAGCATTGCCTCATTGAAGGAGAGCACTAATATACCAGCTGTTGAACATGAAGCTTCAGTGCCTTTCAAATCTCGTCTGCTGTCATTAAAATGGCCAGGCAGTCAGTCGAGCAATCATCCCATGCTCAAGTTCAAAGAGCAGTCCCCTCCATCCTTCAATGAAATCACTCAGCTGCTCTCGGAAAAGGACAGTGTAAGTCCTCTCTGGGTGATATGTTCATTTTTTTTAAACAAAGACATATGATGTGGCTAATGGAAAAGGATACAAATTGGAATGGGAGATGCGTTTAGCAGTTCCTTTTTATGTCTGCTGGTTGGAGCTTCAAATATGTATCTTGTCTTCACGTTTCTTCTACAGATAGATGAACAACTGCAGTGTCTGACAGAGACCTTGCAGCTCACAGAAGAGAACATCAGTCTGCGCTTCCTTGTTTGTTCTCTGCTTCGAGACATAGCTGGAGCATATTTCCCAGAATGCATTATCAGGCCTTTTGGCTCCTCTGTCAACAGCTTTGGCAAACTGGGCTGTGATGTTGACATGATTCTGGACCTTAATGGCATCTATGCAACAAGCCAGAAAAAGGTCAGTGCTGTGGACTACTTAAGTAGATTGAATCTAAATAGGATAGTTTACACAAAATTCTATCTTTTATTCATCCTTGTGTCATTGCAAACCTGAATGACTTGGAACATGAAGATATTTTGAAGAATATTTGAATAGTTCATTGCAAAAACAGATAACTCAGTTTTTAAAGGGGTCATAGGATGCTACATGCACTTTTACAAGTTGTTTGAACTGAAATGTGTGTTGGCAGTGTGTGTACACAACCACCCTATAATGATAAAAATCCACCCAGTGTTTTTTTTTTAAATCTGGTTAAATGTTTTCCCCTTTCTCAAATCGAGCCGATCTCAGATGCCTGTCTGTGTGATGTCACACAGACAGGCCCCTCCCACGATAGTTTGATTGACAGTAGCGTTTCAGCACAGACTGGACTGGTGTCTTACCTCAGACCCGCCCTGAGTGAGCTGTCATCAGTCCGCCATTGTTTCACCGCTGGAGCAGATGTAGGCAAGAATGACTCCTAAGCGATTGAGGTGTTCTGTTTTTGGATGTAATAATGAACAGCAGTCGTCATTTACTCCCGACATCTGAGCCGCTGAACTCGCAGTGGATTACATTTGTTTCTGAAGGGAATGCGCCCCTGATCTACATAAATGCGTCTATGTTCACGCGAATTATTCATGATTTATCTACAGAAGAAGTGAGTATAATGTTTTGTAATGAATCTTTGCAAATCGCCTTTCCTAATAATGTGCTAATTAGCAAGATTCACGATCAATGCGGCTAAAGTAAACAGTCTCTCTGAGAGCAGCTCGGAAGAGAGGGGCATTTTAACCAAACTATGTTACAGACTTTTCATTAAGACCCCAAAAAATTATATCAACTTGTGGAAAATGGGCATCCTATGACCACTTTAACAATTTTCAAAAATCATGTTTTTTCATTGTGCATTCCAATTAATCTCAATCAAACTGCAGTTGGGTTATTTTGGTTAAGTAAAATAGCAAAAAAATACAGCTAACTAACACAATAAAGCACAATAAAACAAGTTATGTTTTTTGCAAATAAATTCTTCATTTGTAACCAATCAGTTTTGATTTCCATTGTGTGGACAAAAACCACTGAGACATTTAACAAAATATCTTCTGTTTTGTTCTGCAGAAGAAAGTCAGTCATATAGTTGAAGGAATTATTGTAGTTTTAGTTTTGGAATCACATAATATTCATTGCTGGGTGAAATGTCCTTTTAAGTACTCTATTAGTATGAAGAGTGAAAATCTAATTTATTGTTGTTTTTGCCTAGTTATTGATATAATTTTTTTTATTAGTAGATATTTGAAATACAACTTTTATAGTGCAATTTTTTTTGTCTGTTTTTGGAGGTTAATAGCTGTCATTGTATTGAAGATGCATTTAAAAAATATTACAATTAAATGACTAAATAATCCAACTTCAGTGTTCTGGTCAGTTCTTAAGGATTATGTCCACAGTTAAAAATATACATTACTTTTCTACAATTAAGGTTAGAACAATAGCAGTTATATTTTTCAAGTTTATTGATTATACAGTAATGTTTTAAACGGCTCTGGACTGTCTCTGGAGTACCAGCTGAAGAGAGGAGCATCAGAGCGGGCTGTGACCCAGAGTATCCTCTCAGTCATTGGGAAATGTGTAGACCAGTTCGGCCCTGGATGTGTGGGAGTCCAGAACATTCTTCAAGCTCGATGTCCTCTTGTCCGCTTTGCTCACCAACCCTCTGGCTTTCAGTGTGATCTCACTGCCAATAACAGGTAATGTCAGCTGAATGACGTATGACTTAATTAGTCATTTTTAAACTGCATCTTAAAATAAGACTTTGCAAGCTGAGAATGTAAGCAATAGTTAATCTCTGTAAGTCCCATAGAAGGGCTTTTAAAGTATTGTTATGTGGGCTTTAAGGGCTGCCAGTTTTATTTTCTCACTCTCATTTACACTTCCTCAAAACAAAGGTCACTCTTATGCTTCCTTTTTGAACGTGACAAATTAATAATGCAAAAGAAACCTGCTCAGCAGTTTTTGTTGCACTGGGACCCCTCATGGGGCAAGCTGTGGGTTAGAGAGGGGTATTCCCAGATGTGTACGGTGTACACTATATGTGCATAATGAGAGAAACATACCTTAGTTTGCCCTTGATGGATTTCTGGTGGAGGATGTATGAACACAGGAGTAAAAAGACATGAAATTAATTTAATTAATATTATTGAAGTTTGTTCTAGTTTTTTTTTTTTTTTTTCTTTCTGATGGACAGGTCCGGGATGATTTGCATATTTACTAATAATATACAGTATGTTTATACATAATTAATAGCAAAACAGATTTGGTCTGCTTTTTTGACAGTTTCCTGGTATGTGATTGTTTCTTATTTACTTATTTAGATATTTATGTACTTATTTATATATATGTATATGCTTTATTTGAATTGCTTATTTTGGTATGACTTAATTGTTTAAATATGAAATTACTATAGATATATATAAGATACTATTTAAACTGAACTGAGCTGGATGATGACATCACTGAATTCAATGATGAACTGCCTTTAACTCAAAAATGAGTGTTTACTATTGTCATTTTGCATTATTGACACACTATTTTCCTAATTAATGCTGTTCAGTTGCTTGGACACAATCTGTATTGTTAAAAGCGCTATATAAATAAAGGTGACTTGACTTGACTTGAAATGACAGTCATTTAAAAGTACTGTGCGCCCCTAGTGGCACCAGATTGAATATCAAAAAAATTATTTCCAATTTTTTTTTAAACTGGTTTTCCAAATATTCTTCAGTTTTTTTTATCAAACTGGTAATCCCGTCCTAAACCCAGGTACATGTCTTGTTTTATTTTACGTTGTCATGTGTGCAGGGTGGCGATGAAGAGTTCAGAACTGCTGTTTCTCTACGGCCAGCAGGACCCTCGTGTTCGGCATCTGGTGTTCAGTGTGCGGTGCTGGGCTCGGGCTCATAGTATCACAAGCAGTATTCCAGGAGCATGGATCACCAACTTCTCTTTAACGGTCATGGTAGTGTTCTTTCTACAACAGAGGAATCCTCCCATACTGCCCACACTGGACCGACTGAAGGAGCTGGCAGGTATACAAAATTGTCCTTTACAGCCATGCTTTTCTGCAGTTTCTTGTCTATTGTACTACACTGCCATATAAAGGCAAAGGACAGTAACTACACATTTGGTCAAAACTGAGTTATGACTGAAACAGGATCTCTTAGATTATGTTCTGTCCTGTGACAGATGAGTTTGACTCAGAAATCAAAGTGTGAAAATTAATATTGAAAGAAGAAAAAAAAAAACAGACCTCAATTAAAAAAATCAAAAAGCAATTTTTTTCTCGGCTCCAGTGTTGCTTTTAAAAATAAATAGCACAACCATTTACAAGAGTGATAATAATAAATGTTTTTGAGTATCAAATCAACATATTAGAATGGTTTCTGAACAATAATGTGACGCTAAAAACTAGAGTAATGGCTGCTAAAAATTCAGCTTTTCCTTTATGTAAATAAATTACATTCTAAAATATATTAAAATATCAACCATTGATTTTAAATAATATTTCAAAATAGTACAGTTTTTATTTTTTCTGTTTTTGATCAAATAAATGCAACCTTGGTAAGCATAAAAGACTACTTGTTTCAAACACATTAAAACAACTTACAGACCCCAAAATTTAGAACGATAATGTAGAAAGAGCCCATCATATAAATAAGTCATAAAACACCCTTTGCATGTCTAAATAAATTTTCTATATGGCTTGGATTATTTGCTTTTAACTAACATTTAATTTTACAAGTCAAATTGCCCTGTTATAAAACCTTGTAAATTATTTTCCATAGCTTCATAACTCGTAGCCGTGAGTTATTAATTGAAGCATTTATTCAATAAATACTAATACAATTATTATAAATGCTATCAAATTCCTATTTCAGTTTTTTACACTAAAGTCAGATATTTAGAAATAATAAACATACATTTCCTGCCTGCCTAATGTGCTGCAAAATAAGGCTTTTGAATGGGATCGTGCATTTTTTGTTTCTGTTTAATTTCAAAATGTATAAACTGTGTGTGTGTGTGTGTGTGTGTGTGTGTTAAATACATGAGACACTGAAGGCTTTTGAATGGGATCATGCATTTTTTGTTTCTGTTTAATTTCAAAATGTATAAACTGTGTGTGTGTGTGTGTGTGTGTGTGTTAAATACATGAGACACTGCTGTCTCATCATCTGTAACTCCAGTAAAGTATAGTGGCTCAGGATACGTCACTGTATTTCTCTCCTCTGAGCTGATATTCTACACACACACAGTCGTTTTCTTGTCTGCCAGGGTCAAGGACAGTGATGCCACAATAGTGATACAGAATCCATTTCTATATGGAAGGTCACTTACATTATATTCATGTTTTGTGTGTGTGCACTTTCCAGGACCATCAGATAAGTGTGACATTGAGGGTAATGACTGCACTATTGTCAGTGACCTTAGCAAGATTACACTGCAGCAGAACACAGGCACATTAGGTGAGTGGAGCTCATGGATTGTTTTCATAATTTACACAAACTTAATGAAAGGTTCTACCTTTTCACCTTTGGGCAGATGGCTCGTTTCTGTAATGCTTTTGGTTATGCATTCCATTTTTACTGAGTGTTAATGAGTGTTAATGCCGTTTATTTTCAGTTGTTAAAATTATTTAATCCACAGAGAAACTGTTGCAGGAATTCTTCGAGTTTTATGGCAATTTTCCCTTCAACAAGGGATCAATATCCCATCGATCAATATCAGGAAGGTGAGTCATCCAACAAGGACACGTGCATCCATGCGCAAACTCCCAGAGGACACTGCTGACGTCTTAGCAGACCCTCCACAAATGCCCACCAGAGGGCAGTGTATATCTAGTCAATTCAAAGAAAGTGTCTGGGTCTGCAGTGGACACAGATATACAGTTGCAATCAAATGTATTCAACCCCCTTGACATTCTGCTGCCATAAACAAAAGATTATGAAAACAATTCAACCAAAGCATATGTAAACTATTATAGAAAGTTAGCCCATACCTAATGTTTTCAGATCACTGATAATCTTTGGTTTTCATGTTGCTTCAGTAGATTTGGATGTATGCTTTGGGATGGTTGCCCTGCTGGAAAGTCCAGTGATCATCAGGTTCAGTCTATGCATCAAAGGCATCACAGTCTTTGCCAAAATTACCTGATACTTCAAAGAATCCATGATATTCTTCATGCAGTCAACAAGTTTTCCACTTCCTGTAGCAGTAAAGCACCCCTATAACAAGACTGGCCCAACTCTATGTTTGACCATGGGGATGCTGTTCTTCTGCTCATAAGCCTTGCCTGCTTGCCTACATACCACTGATACATGGGTCCAAAAAGATCAAGTTTGGTTCCATCCATACATCATTCTTCCAGAACTTCACAGGTCCACCTAAATGAATTTGATCATATTCAAGTCAGCCTTTTATGATATATTACTAAACTCTCCGGGGCTTGAATCATTTTTATTGCAGCTGAGACCACTAGAGAAAATGCTTTTATTTTGTGTTTTTCTAATTTAAAGGGATAGTTCACCCCAAAATTAAAATTCTGTCATTAATTATTAACCCTCATGTCGTTCCAAACCCGTAAGACCTTCATTCATCTTCAGAACGCAAATTAAGATATTTTTGATGAAATCCGAAAGCTTTCTGACCCTCCATAGAAAGCAACGCAACTGACGTGTTCAAGGCCCAGAAACGTAGTTTAGGACATCGTGAAAATAGTCCATATGACATCAATGGTTCACTCTAGTGAACGTGCGTCAAAGACCAGCACAGAAGAGAAGAAATTGTTGAATAAAGTAGTTAATTTTGTTTTCTTTGTGCACAAAAGTATTCTCGTAGCTTCATAAAATGACGGTTGAACCACTGATGTCACATGGACTATTTTTACGATGTCCTTTCTACCTTTCTGAACCTTGAACGTGGTAGTTGCGTTCAAGGTCTTACGGGTTTGGAACGGCATGAGGGTGAGAAATTAATGACAGTATTTTAATTTTTGGGTGAAATATCCCTTTAATTCTTTTTGTTGTTGTTTTTGTACATTGAATTAGCAGTATAACAAATTGAGTAAAGATGCTGATGCAATTGATGTGTTAATACTGTGTGTTTAAGTGTCTGAGGGCATAAATATCCTGCTTTATCTCTCTTTCACCAGGGAAAGGAGCAGACCAAACCGGAAACGACAGCTTTGTATATCCAGAATCCATTTGAAACCACTCTAAACATTAGCAAGAATGTGAATGCAACACAGCTAGACCGTTTCGTGGCACTTTGTCGAGAAAGTGCTTGGCTTCTCCAGCAGAAGGAAATTCTTCAGCAAAGTTCGGACTCACCATGGGGGTTCACTGCACTTCTCCTTCCTTCAGTCACCTCAGGAGCAGGGGTGAAAAGTCGCAGGAAGAGAAAACTGGAACCAGCTAGTTCAAGAATAAAGAACCTATTAGACTCTCTGAAGATTAAAGGTGGTGAAACTGTTGCAAAGAAGGGAAGTGCAAACGCTAGAAGGTGATATGGTCAATAAACTTCACTTACTCTGAAACGTCTTCTGAAGAACAAATTTAAATGACCAACACGCCAAAAGAGTGGAACAAACGTGAAGTTTATATATTTCTACAGTCAGAAGCTGTAAGTCTTTTAAGAAATATGTAAAAAAAAAATGTACATCTCAGTTTCTGTTCTACTCAAGTATTTCACATGAAAGAGTAACTTTGTAGATTCCAATATGATATAACAATGGAAGAAAAGGTCCACTGCGGTCTTGACTCCTAAAAAAATGGAGTTCAGTGGTTGTGTTGATCTGATAACAATCATTACGGTTTCCAGAGAAGTGAAGCAGAACCTCTGAACACTATAAACAGCTTGCATGGAACAGTTGTGATTGTTAGATCACACACAAACTCCATCTTCTCTGAGTTGCCATAGACTTACAATAGCCTAATGACTGCGTGAACAGTCACTGTCAACTAAATAATGTTTTCTAAGATATTAAAACAAAGTAATGTTTAGACCATTACTGTTTGTTTCTCCTTGGGCTTCTTTATTTCTAATTTTTCCAATACTCCTTAAAAAAGTGTCTGAATGTTTCATAAACTATTTTAGCCTGTTTCTGCCACAGTAAACAAATTAGTTTTATTTCAGAAAATGTATATATCAGAATAGTCACTTAATTTCCTTAATTTGGACTTAATCTCATAAACATAACCACAATGGGACTATTTCACAATAACAACTTTATTTCTCCTGATTGGGGCATCATTTCCTCGTTATTGTGACTAAATCACACAATGAGACTTGACCTAACATGACCTAAAATCTCGTTTCACACAGTTTCAACTTTATTTCTTGTAATTGTGATTTTATATCTCACAATGAAACTTTGACCTTACATCTCACAATTATGTCGTCATTTCATTGTGGCTCACAAAGCAGCTTGATATCTTGCAACGTTACCTTATATATATCACAGTTGCGATTTCTCATCATTGAGACTATCTCAATATAAGGATGGCTTTCATAATAAACTGGAAGGTAGTGTGAGAAGATGGATAGAACAAGACATGGGAAAGGTGAAGAACTACAGCACTTTGGTGGGAAGGACAGGAAACATAGTGAGTTGATGGAAAAAAAAGTTGTAGGGCATTGGCAAATAGAGAGGAAATAAGTGTTTTGAGATTAGCAGCAAGAGAAGAAAACTATAATGGGAGAAGATGAAAGAGCGTAAAGTCTCCTGGGAGTGCTAGTTAGTTGTTTTAATGTTCATGATGGTTTTACCACTCAACTTGATGAGGTCAGAGGTCAAATAGTATAGTGGAAACCATTTCTCTTAAGCTTACCCCAGAGAACAACATCTTTGTCGCCTTTAAACCATCTGAACTGAATTTGAACTTCAGTGGCTCTTTGAGAACGTGAGGAAGGTCATGGGCTCCTTAAGACAGGCAAAGGATGGAGTGATGGAGTAATAATACTCAATATCCTTATGCAATTTCACAGGTGAAATCCCACCCAGAGCTGCTTAGTGGTGGATTTATCCGAACAGCTGAAAGACATTTGGGTTTTATGAGCTTATATCTGTGTGGCATTAGACTGCTTACAATTGTTTATCTGCTCACTCATCTCTCTCTTTATACCTCACAAGGGTTCTTAGAGTCACAGTATACGGCTTAGGACATGCAGAGCTGCTGATACAGTCTCTGCCCCTTAAAAGGTACGATCTTTGTTGTTTGTATGTATCTTTTAATATAACATAGTTTGTGGAGGTTAAAATGCAAGTAAAAAATTTGACCTAAAGCTGACAACTATCTGGGGTTGGAGACTGGTTTCTATGTTTGTATTACAATTCACTAAATTGTAACTGTTCACAGAATGTATGAAATAAGTGCATATAGAAAAAATAGACTTGTTTAAAAAACATTTTACACTATATATATATATATATATATATATATATTTAGATTTAAAAAAAATAACACTAGCTTCTCTAATCTTTTTGTATTCCATCTATTTGTTTTCTTTTTATTATATAATAAAAAAAAACTTTGCGATGTGTATTGCGTTAAGCTAACTGAGACTTGTTATAGCACTTGTATATCATTGCTCTTTTGTTGATTTTGATTGCTTCACTTGTCCTCATTTGTAAGTCGCTTTGGATAAAAGCGTCTGCTAAATGACTCTCGCTCTCTCTCTCTCTCTCTCTATATATATATATATATATATATATATCACACACACTAGTTTTTATTCAAATAAATCTGTTCTTTATATATGCATTTATTTGAATCAAAATACAAGAAAAAATACAGTTAAAAACAGTAATACTGTCAAACAGTTATTTAATGTTTTCTATTTTAATGTATTTTAAAATGTAATTTATTCAATTAATGGCAAAGCTGAATTTTCAGCAACCATTACTCCAATCTGCAATGTCACATGATCCTTCAGAAATCAGTCTAATAGGCTGATTTGGTGTTCAAGAAAAAAGTCTTATCAATGTTGAAAAGAGGTATTATTATAAATTGTAATATTAATATTCTTATGTTTTAATAATTTTTTTTTGTTCCAGTGTAAAGGTCTTTACTGACAATTATGATGAA